CTTATGTCTGTTAGTAAATTAACCAAGACTCTTAACTGTTCTGTTACCTTCCTTCCTTCCTCTTGTGTTTTTTAGGATCTCAAGACGGGGAAGAAGATTGGTGGGGGCATGAAGCTGGTGGATTGTATTATCTTGATGGTGGTGGATCCTCAATTGCTCTTCAGACTTCACTTACTCCTCTACAGTGGCATTGCTGACTGGGACATCCTTCTCTCAAGGCACTCAAGATATTAGTTTCGTCTTTGAGTCATTTGTCAGTTTTACAGTGTGAATCATGTCAGTTTGGGAAACACCGTCGTGTTTCCTTCAGTCCTAAAGTTGACAGTCGTATGTTGAATCCTTTTTCTTTGGTTCATTCAGATGTTTGGGGCCCGATCAAAATAGAGTCTTATAATGGGTACAAGTATTTTGTCTCTTTTATTGATGATTGTTCAAAGATGACATGGATTTACTTAATGAAAGAAAGAAGTGAATTATTTTCCATTTTTCAAAAATTTCATACTGAAATACGTACACAATCTTGTGTTCCAATCAAAGTCCTTCGTTCAGATAATGGTCGTGAATACTTTCTTACTTCATTTCAACAGTATTTAGAACAGCAAGGCATTATTCATCAAACCTCATGTGCATCCACTCCTCAACAAAATGGGGTGGATGAACGGAAGAACCGTCATCTCCTTGAAACTGCTCGGTCTATTCTTCATCATATGAATGTTCCTAAACGGTTTTGGAGTGATGTTGTACTCACTGCATGTTTCCTCATTAATCGGATGCCCTTCTTTATTCTTCATGGTTGGTCCCCTTCTTTATCTCGTTCCCCACTTTATCTCCATTTCCATTAACTCCTCGTGTCTTTGGCTGTGTGTGCTTTGTCCACAATCTGAGTCCTGGAATAGACAAGCTAGATGCACACTCCATTAAATGTGTCTTTCTTGGCTACTCTCGGACTCAAAAAGGGTACAAGTTTTATAATCCCATTACTCGAAAGTACTATGTCTGTCTCGATGTCACCTTTTTTAAGTCTGTCCCCTTCTTCTCAAAACCCAAAGGCCTTCGTCTCCATCCTTACTTCCTCTTCCTCTTCCTCTTCCTGTTAGTGATCCAGTTCCGAATGCTGTTGTTGGAGTAGACTCATCATCTCATCCAGTGCAGATCACCACTGAACGACCACCGATCCGGCAAGTGTATACACGTCGAACAACACTGGCCCCTCCTCCAGCTTCTACCTTATCTGCGGATCCTGTCATGGCTCCTGCCGCTGAACCCTCAGAACATGACCTACCCATTGCCTTACGGAAAGGTAAACGCAGTTCTACTACTCTCCATCCCATTTCCAATTTTGTTTCATTATCTTGCCTTTCCACCTCACATCGTCGGTTTGCTTCACTTTTGTCATCTATTTCCATACCTAACAATGTCCAAGAAGCTCTTAGTTCACCTGGGTGGCGGCAAGCAATGGAGGAGGAACTCTCTGCTCTTCAACATACTCAAACGTGGGAGCTCACTACTCTCCCACCTGGTAAGCATGTTGTGGACTGTAAATGGTTGTATACTGTGAAATACTTGCCAGATGGTAGTGTGGAGCGTCTGAAGGCCAGGCTCGTTGCTAAAGGTTACTCACAGTTGTATGGAGTGGACTACATGGAGACATTCTCTCCGATGGCTAAGATTAGCTCTGTTCGTGTGCTAATCTCCCTAGCAGTTATGTATGATTGGCCTCTGTTTCATCTTGACATAAAAAATGCCTTCCTTCATGGTGACCTTGTGAAGGAGGTATATATGGAGCAACCACCTGGGTTTATTGCTCAGGGGGAGGATGGTAAGGTGTGCAGACTGAAAAAGCCAATTTATGGGTTGAAACAATCGTCGCGTGCTTGGTTCGGGAACTTTAGTGAAGTGGTGAAGAGTTTTGGAATGAAGCAATGCCAGGTTGATCACTCAGTGTTCAGCTATGACTCAGAAGCTGGAAAGATTTTATTAGTGGTCTATGTGGATGGTATTGTTATTACTGCCAGTGACAAATTGGGGATTGACAAACTAAAGGTATTTCTGCAAAATCATTTTCAAACAAAAGACCTTGGGACATTGAAGTATTTCTTGGGCATAGAAGTTGCCAAGTCAAAACAAGGTGTAAATCTGTGCCAAAGAAAATATGTTCTTGATCTATTGGAAGAAACAGGAYTDTTAGGTGCAAAACYGRHTRAGACCCCTATGGAACCAAATGTTAAGTTGAGCAGTGATACAGGGGAAGTATTTGAAGATCCTGGAAAGTATAGACGACTAGTGGGGAAGCTAAACTATCTGACTATCACGAGACCTGACATCTCCTTTGCAGTCAGTGTGGTGAGCCAATTCATGCAGAACCCTCGTATACCTCATTGGGATGCAATTCTTAGAATTGTAAGATATTTGAAGGGAGCTCCAAGCCGTGGACTATTGTATAAACCAAGAGGAAAACTTAAAGTAGTTGGGTATACAGATGCAGACTGGGCAGGCTCAGTGAATGACAGAAGATCTACTACAGGCTATTGCACATTTCTTGGAGGAAATCTTGTGATGTGGAAGAGTAAAAAGCAGACGGTTGTGGC